GACTGTCCTGAGATTATGCACTACCTTCATCTGGGTAACACTGCCTCTGTTTTGGAAGTGCAGTGCATAACTTTACCAAGTTGCTGCTTTCTCCTTAGACACTGCAGGTGCTGAGGTTTAGGGGCCAGTGTCCTGATACAGCCTCCTGCCTGGTTCCATAGAGACCAAGCAAAGTGAGTGACAATTGCTGCTTCTCTAGAGATAGTGACCCCAGTCCTTGGGCAGGAGTCACAGTATCAGAGAGACACATATGGTGCCACCACCAGGTATGGGTTTGTCCAGTGCCCCTCCTGCCCCCACAACAGATAGAACCACCAGCTTTTTTTTTTTTAAGACAGGTAGCCTAGGTTGGCCTTGAATTTGAGGCAATTCTGCCTTAGCCTCTCAAGTGCTGGCTTACACATAGGTACCTTCATGCCCAAGTTGTAGAGTTTGTGTCGGCAGATAGCCACCTGTGTCTTCAGTAAGCTTTTCTCCTCAGTAGGGTCTTTAGGTCACTGTAATTACCATGGAGCTCAGGACTATTCAGTAAGCTAAGAGGAGGTGTGCTTCTGTGTGACGGGGCATAGGACATGTGTCTGTGAGCGGCTGCTGTCAGCTTTCTCGAGCATTGGAAGTGGACAAGAGCTGTCCAGATATGTCTTCCTTGGAATGACATTGCCTTTTCTCCCCTCATGTCTCTGTGTGTGGTGTGCATGTATGTATGTGTTTGGGGGGACGTGTATATGCAGATGAATGTGTATGCATATTCATGTGGAGACCTGAGGTTGGCATTGAGGATCTTCCTCAGTTGCTCTTCATCTTATTCATTAGGGCAGGGCCACTCAATTGAACCCAAAGCTCACAACTAATCTGGCTAGCCAGCTTACTCTGGTGATCTTCTATCTCTGCCTTCTGGGTACTGGAATTACCAGCAGGCGGCCACACTTACTCAGCATTTAGGTGGGCTCTGGGGAGCGGAACTTTGGTCCCCACACTTCAAAGCAAGTGCTTTAATCACTGAGTCATCTCCCCAGTGCAACACTGCTTTTTGCACTTGTCTAAATTATTTTGGAAAAATCACTTCCAAGCTTTCTATGATGACATAAAGCCATCTAGTTCATTAAGAGTTGTTTAATGTGAAACAGTTTTCTTCAGCATTTTTTCTAATCCCCATATAGGCTTCTGCAGAGATAGGAACAAAGCTGGCCTGCCCCTTAAGGCTGTAAGGCCTGGCTTCATCTGAGCTTCTATCCCCAGGGTTCCCAGAAAAGGGGCTTCACAGATCCTCATGGCCTGCAGGATCATAAGTCACATGCTTAGCCTTCTCAAGCCCAGCCACAGATGGGTAGAGAATGGCCAACTTGAGTTCCTTTGGACATAGCCTGGTCTTTGCCTTTTTGTTTCTTAGCGAAGCAGCCAGCACTATCTGCTGGTATCAGGGTGTTCTAGTTAGCTTTCTATAGCTGGGCATGGTGGCGTGGTCTACATAGTGAGTTCCAGGACAGGGGCTACAGGGAGGCCCTGTCTCAAAAAAGACCAATAATAATAATGATAATACTGACCCAGGAGCTGAAGAGATGGCTCAGTGGTTAAGAGCACTGACTGCTCTTGCAGAGGACCCAGGTTTGATTCCCAGCACCCACATGGCAGCTAACAACTGTCCATAACTCCAGTTCTGGGGGAATCCGATGCCCTCTTCTGACCTCTGCAACATTGCAGGACATGGGTGCACTCACATACATGCAGGCAGTACACTTGTACACATAAAATAAAAATAAATATTAAAAAAACAATACTGATCCAAACCAACTTGGGCGGGAAAGGGTTTATTTGGCTTGCAGCCCACAGTCCTTCATCAAAGGAAACCAAGGCAGGAACTCAGAGCAGGAGCCTGGAGCACAGATCATAGAGAAACACTGCTTACTGACTTGCTCCTCTAGCCTGTGCTCAGCCTGCTTTCTTATATAACACAGGACCACCTGTGCTCAGGGGTGGCACCACCCACAGTGGACTGGGCCCTCCCACATCACTCAACAATCAAGAAAATGCCTCACAGACACACCCACAAGGCCAATCCAATAGAAGCAATGCCCCAATTGAGGTTCCCTCAAGTGTGTATCAAGTTGACAAAGCTATCCAGCACACAGGGGCTGCCTCCCTCCCCTCATGAAGCTTCTGAAATGCTTCCCCTATCTAGCTTCTTCAGGACCTCAGGACAAAACAGCCAGCTCAGTTCTAACCACACCAGGGGAGAGAGGTTCCTGCCTGTAGATACCCCAACTGTTTGGGCTTCATTCTCCCTCCCCATCCTCTGCCAGCTGGAGGGTTTAGAGCATCCATAACGAAGTTGGATGTTGGCCTGAGCCTCAGAGTCATCACAATGGGCCCCAGGCTTGGTTGAGCTGTGACAAGGTCTCAGCTCCCATCAGGAGCTCTCCAGCCCAGGGAGGCCGTTTTTAGGCCAGTGGAAGGAACCTTATGTGTACTTACCCAGTGACCCAGTTAATGTCCTAATTTCATACAGGAGCCCAAGGGACAACTGCCCATACCTGTTGGTTAGCAGGAGATGCTATTCTTTCCAGAATCCTCCTTCCACTAAATTTCTGTTGCAGATTACTACTGTGGACTATCACTGAGAGGTGAAGGTTATACAGCCCTCCCCAGTTCAACTTCTGCTTGAGGGGACTAGGCTTAACATTTAGGAAGTTTTAAGCCCAGCTTTGGCAGGAGGGTGGGAACTAAGGAGTCATAAGGTCCCCGTTTTAGCAGATAGGGACTCAGGTTCAGCACGGATGGTATCTTGAGGCCTTTCAATCATGGGCCAGATCTGACCAATTATAGGGCCATCAGTCACCTCAGGACCCATTCCCTTACTGTGAGCACCCCCAGTTGACTTTTCTGGGTCCAATAAATTGTATGAAGCCAGAATCCAGAGTTTTAGTGCTGGATTAGGAGACACTGAGGCATGTTGGGTCCACTTTCCACTGTCCTCAGTAATGGGTACTCCCCTAAGACCCAAGACCCACCTGAGGACTCAGAGTGGCTCATTAAGGCCCAGGTCAGAAACATTACTTCATCCCAGTGAATTCAGATACCTGGTGGCCTCTGGGGAAGCTAGCCCCTTTCTCCCTAGGGTCATTGTATTCTGGTGGCTGCCCAAGCCTGGTCCCTGTCATAAGAAGACATCCACAGAAGCCTAAGTGTTGTGATGCATACCCAGTCACAGGTCACACAAGAGGCCAGGGCAGGGGGAGATAAACACAGGTCCTAGGAGATATGACTATCCTCCACCCTACCAAAAAGAGTGATCATCTGTCCTGATGCCTGGTACCCTTCACTTTAAGCTCCCTGCCCCCCCCCCCAAATCCACAGTAAATAATCCCTTTGCTTCCTAGCATGCCCCAGTTCCAGATCTAGTCACATACTGATGCACATCAGGGCCCAGGGAGGCATGGTGACCCCATTTCACTGATCACACCAGGGAAGGCTGCTGAAGTGACAAGGTCTTACAAATCCAAGGAACAGGGGGCTTGTCTGTCCTTTGTCTACACCTGCAGGGTTCCGAGCCATCTTCTGGGCAGTGGTGGCCACAGTACTGTTCCTACCCCTCTCTGACCCATCCCGTTGTCCTGGTAATGATAGAACAGCCATTTAACAGACCCTCCAGCCCACAGAGGACCCAGAGTATTGACCCGACAAGGGCCTGGCCCTGCCTCTCAGGGCAGCCTTGCTTTTGCAGGTTCCAGCCTGGTCCTTCCCTTCCTCCCAGAGCTGCTGTTGCTGCCTAGGGGCCCTCTGCAACATTCGTCACCTGAATGTCCCCAGGGCACAACTCCCCCAAGAGCTTCTGGGGTACACCTATGTCAGATGGGACATTGGGAAATGCATCTCAGAAGGAAGGAGCTGTCCAGGGAAGTAGAGGGCAGGGCTAAGACCCACGGCAGCTCCATTATAGTCTCTGAGTGATGACCTAGCTGATGGGCATGGGGCCTGAAGGCTTGTGACTGAGGAAGGGCTATCCCTCCTCAGAGCCCTCAAGGGCCACCCAGCCTTAGCTAAGAACATGGGCTACCCACCTCTCAAGGCAGCAGGTTCTGCATAACACCCATAGGTGGTTATGGTGTGGGGGACTCAGGCCAGACTGAAGAGAGCTATATTGAGGTCACTGACTGGGAATGGGGAAGACAGGGACCAAGAAAATAGCAGCGTGGAGGCCCAGGCCCATGCCAGGAGAGGCTCATGTCTTGAGGCTCTGCAGGACATACCTCCTGGTCTAAAGGATACTCCCATCAGTAGACACTACTGAAGGTCACCTGTACCCACTGGGCTGCAAAGACCGCAGTGTTCTGTCACTTCCCCTCTCCTCCCAGCTGGCTAGCAGTATAGAAGGGTCCTCACCAGAGGAATCTCATGGGGTGGGGCATGATTTTGACCTGTAGGACCCTGGTACCAACATCACAAGATAACCCAAGAATCCACACAACCTACTCAAGAACTGCCAGAACTTCGAGGAAAGCCTGGTACAGTTTCATCGCTGCAAGTCCCACCCCCAGGGGCGACCTGCAGAGGCTGACAGAGCAGCCAGGGGGTAGCTCCCGGGGTCAGCCCAGCCCTGTGAAGGCGGTGCCAGGGCCCCAGGTGGCAGGAGTGGGTGGGGCGCCTGCCAGGGCTCCCCTGGCTCCGACAGCCCAGCCTCACTCCACATATCCCTCGGTCCTTGTCATCTCTCGGCTCTTGGCTGTCTCCTTCCAAAGTAAGTCCAGCGAACAGAACCCTCGCACTTCGGGGAAACTGAGACCCCTGGGTTCTCGGACTTGCCCAGGTGGGCCTCCTCGGGCTAATCCTAACTCCTGGGACCCAGGCAATAGCCTGCGGGCCTCAGGGGCGGGGCGGCAGATAGATCCGAGCCCAGCGGCGCGGGAGCCGGCGCTGCGCGGCAGGGCCGCGTCTATACTGCGCCGTGCGCGCGCCGCCCGCAGTACCGGTGTGCGCCGCCGTGCGCCTGGCCGGGGGCGTCGCGGGGCGCGCGGGCGGCCGGGCTCCGGCGGCGGCAGCAGCGCAGGTAGGGCCAGTGGTAGGCCATGCCCTTAGCCTGGGTGGTCCCGTGTGCTGAGGACCCGCAGTTGGTTCTCCGCCCACGTGTTTGTCCGCGTGCGGTGCCGCGGGAGATAACAGCAGGGTGGGGCGCAGGAACTCAGGGTCTCCGGGCAAGGAACCCCAGACTGCCCCATCCATCCGAGATACAGGACCATCCAACCTCTTACCGCTGTTCCTGGAGGGCCTTTCCCAGACCCTTCTAAGAAGGGCCACTTTAGAGGCGGCACCGTCGCTGGGCCCTAGACCCTCCCAAGGCCGATATCAGCTGCAGCATCGGGGGATTCAGGGTTTGCCAGGCACACGGTGCCAGACCCCTCCCAAGGTCGAGAAATCAGGGACGCCTCTGGAGTGCACCGAGGGTGGGAGGGGCATGGCGGCCCACTCTGGCTACCCCAACTGAGAGTTCTCCCCGCTGTCAGATCGGTGATGGTGCCTGTGCTTGGAAAGCACTGGCCTCAAGAGGCTCACCACCAACGTCCTGGGCTTGCTGAGGGGCCTACACCCCCAGACCCTCAGCACACACCCCACCCTACATGCAAACTGCAGCCAAATTCTCCCAGCCCCGTGGTTAACTTGGCCTCTTTGCCCATGCAAAACAGGTACCCAGGAGGGTCAGGCAGCACCCAGCCTCTCATCCCACCCCTCACAGAATGGCCTCCACAGGAGTGTAGAGGGCTGGTGTGGGCATTCAGGAGTCCATCTTGCAATCTCTATAGGTAGGGCTGGCAATGGGCTGTCCTCCAATCCAGGGCTGAGCTTTGTGTGGCTTGGGGTGCACAGCTAAGCATGGAAAGTTTGCTCTACAGCTAATCAGCCCCATTGGGCAGAGCAGGCCCTGGGGCCTCATTAGTGGGTCCTTGTACCCCAGTGTCACCACTGTAGACTTCAGGAAGTGTGAGTGGTGTGGCCCAAGGGGCAATTGTCCCTAAACAGCAGGTGGAAACCTTCCCCTCTGCCCTGGGGGATTGGGGGGGGGGGCGGGGAAGACTGCAGACCCAGCTCTTTTGCTTCCTCTGCCACCCACAAGCCTCAGGCTGGCTACTTCTGACGCCCCCGACGCCATGGAGGAATGGGATGTGCCCCAGATGAAGAAGGAGGTGGAGAGCCTCAAATACCAGCTGGCCTTCAAGAGGGAGATGTCCTCCAAAACCATCCCCGAGTGAGTGCCTTGTGATGTGTCATTTGCCTACCCTGCTACAGCTCCTTTGTGTGAACCAGAACCTCACTCTGGTGGGCAGGTGCCATGGGAAAGGCCAACACTCATTGAAATCCCTCACTCACAGGCTCCTCAAGTGGATCGAGGATGGGATTCCCAAGGACCCCTTCCTGAACCCTGACTTGATGAAGAACAACCCCTGGGTAGAGAAGGCCAAGTGTACCATCCTATGAGCCTGACCCACACAGTGTGTTTAAGGTGTGATTTTATAAAGACTTCTCAAGGCATCTGTGTTTCTTGTACGTTGTTCCCTGTGGGAGCCAGTGATCTGGTGTCCTGGGAGTGGGGCTAGAGCAGGTCCCTGATGTACAGGCTGCGTCGAACAGCATTGGAGACACCCTCGTTGAACCGGAACCACACCTCACTCCTGCCCACTGCCACACCCATGCGCCACTCAGCTGTGTCCTTCTTGGGGGCCTCGACCTCTGCAGGGACCAAAAGGTTGCACCTCAACAGACCCCAACCCACATCCCCACCCACTTTCCTCCTTCTGTAACCCCCACACACCTTTACTTGGAGCTGCCACTCTCTGGACAATCACACGTCCAAAGAAGTCCCTCTCAGGCTAGAAAATAAGAAGGGTCATCAGACTGGACAAGTGGACAGATGGGGATACACAGGCCTTTCCCATAGGGGAAGATACTCCAATGCCTCTGAGCAAGGCCTAGGACTAGGGGAACCCCTCCTAACCTATTGCCCACGCACTGAGACTTGGTATTGGGGAGCTGGAGCAACAGGTAAGTCCTTGGGATTTGGAGCCAGCCCCACCCTCTATAGGGCCCATTTAATCTTGCTACAGCCCCACTCCCACACCTGCTCCTCCTGGACTGCTCTCTTCATGATGTGTTCCAGCCGCTGCTCATGGTTACGTGGGGCATGTCGCTTTACCCCTTTATCCCGACTGTCTCCCAGCTCAGGCCCTGAAGGACTCTGGTCCACCTGAAAGGAAGTGTGTGATGATGGCTGACTTGTCAAGGCCAGAACACTGAGAGGAGCTGCTACCAGAGCTCCCATCCCAGCCCCCTCTGTCCTAGCACCAGGGGCAAGGTTTACCTGAGGGCCACCTCCAGCCCAGGCCAAAGCCTCTGCCCGCCGCATCTTTTCCACCTCAATCTCCCGGGCAATCAGCTGCTTAGCTTGGTAGGTGAGGGGCTTGCGGGCAGGCAGCTCAGGGAAGCGGCAGACCTTCTCCACATTCCTGCTCAGGTGGGTGAGGCAAGACATCAGGGCACCAGTCAGCAGGGCCAGGCCCTGCCTGCTGTACCAACACAGCAACTTCAAGAGCTAGGATATGGGGTGAGGTCCTGGCACCACTATACCCTAGCCCTATAGCAGCGGGGGACTACTTCAAGCCTCAGTTTCTTCTATTATAATAAGTAGAGATGACAAGGAACCCGCTTAAGGGTACAGGGAAGCTGAGACAACAGGCAAGGAAATAGGGGTCCTGGACACTGGGGCCCTCTCTGGGACACCATGATGCCAGGGTTGCTGCTGCTGTGCCTCATATCACTCCAGCCTTATAGAGAGCCCTGGGGAGCTGTAGACACACACAGAATTACCCATCTTGGGATAGAGGTTAAATTTAACTGTGCTTGACCTAGGAGGGGTGGGCAATTCCAGCCATATATGTGCTAGACCTAGGCTGGAACCAATAAGCCCTGAACACCTTGACAAGACCATACTGGTTTTAGTACCCACACTGCAGCCCCCAAGTGTACCCCTGCCCCAGGCATAGGGACTCACGGCTCTAGCCTGTAGAGGTACTGCCCATCAGGCATGCGTTCCTGGAGGTAAGTGAGACTGTAGGCAAGCATGGTGCCCACGAGGCTGGACAGCTGCTGCTTCTCGCGGGCACTGTACAGCTGTGTGCTCACCTGTGGATAGGTGAACAATGGGTGAGGAGACCAAGCAATGCCAAGAGCCACCCCAATCACAAATTCCACCCTCTCCTCCAAGCCAGACACTCACAGGGCGCAGCTTGGGTGCAAGGACATCCAGGAGTAGGCAGAGGGTGTCTAGAACAAGAGTCTGAGGTGTGGCCTGGCTACGGGTAGTTGGTGCCATACCTGACACCAGTGTCTGGATCTGATTCCTTGTCTGGTTCATCCGGGTCTGGGCCTGGGACAGAAGGTTAAGCCAAGGCCAGACGAGCAGAAACTCCCCCCCAACCCCCCACCCTCATGGGCCAGACCCTGAGCAGAAGTGGGGCAGAGGGCATACCTCCTGCTGGCTGCTGGGAAAAAGGATGCGAGGCACATGACTGGAGGCGAAGAGCACGTGGAAGGCTGCAGGCAGAAAGGGCAAGTAACGCAGCAACTGGAAGCTCTGGCTACGGTGGGCAGCCTGCTCCAGCAGGTCATCAAAGGCTAGCCAGTCAAGAGCACAGCATACAGTACCCAGGCTGGAGTCCCGTAGCCGCAGACGCAAAAAGTTGTCAAACAGGCCCTATGGACAGTGGGTAGGCCATGAGCAGCTGTAGCCTATACCTCATCTCCCTATAACATGAGCACAAGCCTCAGAACCCTTTCTCTGCCCTCTTGCCTTTCAAAGTTCAAGGTCAGTTGTCAACACCTGGGAATGAAGTCCACTTACCTAAAGATCCTGATACAAGGGGTCAAGTGGGGATAGCCCACTCACTTGCCTCCAGGAGTCTACATGGTCCAACTCCCAGCCCCTCCCTGAGGTGGCAGAAAGCCATACCCTCAGAATCTAGGTTACGGTACCCCAGCTTTACCCATGTGGGAGTCTGTCCCCAATGGCGTATCACACAGCCCCTCTGAACTTCAGATTTCTGGATTGGTAGTAGATTCCCAGCCGCTAATCCAAAGCTGCTTAGAGCTGGAGGCAGCTTAGGGCAGGGCCTCTTGGGGTGGGAAGCCTCTGTCGTTTGCCCAAGCCCAAACCTCACCCCACCTGCTCTCTACCTCATGTGCACACTGCATCCAGAATCCAGTTCCTCTAAGTCCCAGGCCTCAACATGGACCTCAGCAGAACCCATCAGATGGTTCTCAACATCAGGCCATAAACCCAGCCTCAGATGCCCAAGCTCCCTGCCTTCTGTCATGCACCTCTGACCTCATTCCTTCAGTTCCCCTCCCAGCTCCTGAGAGTCCTTCCTTGTGGCCCCTGTCCTTAATCCTGCTATCTCTCAGATACCTTTTTCCCACCTAACCGTTACCCGCACCCCTTACTTTGGATCCTACCTAGGGTATCTCCTAATTAACCATGCCCTTTAGTGCCAGAATGTCAGAAGATCAGAGGGGCGCACAGTTACCTGGACAACTTTCTCATGTTCACCTGCAGAGGTGGTGACATGCAGGATATGGTAGAAGCGCTGGGAGGCCAGGGTCAGGGAGCCCTTGTCCCCATCACTGAGTAGGAGAGTATGGGCTGGCAGGGTCAAGTCCTGGCCCGTAAGTCGCCTGCAGGTAGAGAGTACTGAGGCTGTGGCCAAGCCCAGTTGAAAACATAGGTGCCTCCAGCCATCCCAGCCACACCCTGTATGTTCACTGGCTGGCCTGTTTTGCCTCACTCTGAAGGTACCTCAAGAATCTTTTAAGCAGAGTCACCAGATCCCAAGACTCTGCTCTGAACTGACTAGAGGTAAGGTCAGGGAGGGTCACCTTCTGAACCACAGGTTCAAGAGACTCTGGGCTCTCTCCTTGGGAAACTAACTGGGCCAGCATCCCCCTGGGCTCCAAACTCATCAGATCCCTGTCCACAAGGAACATACAGTAAGCTCCACAGAGCTGCACCCTGGAGCCCCTGCAGCATCAAGTGGTTTCATTCAGGCAGCTTCTAAAAGCCCTGAACTCATGAACAGAGGAAGGGAGCGGAGGCCAAAGCAGGGCCTGGAAGGCTAGGTCAATGACTCCAGCATTCATGAACACTAGGTTACTGTCCAAGAAGGTGGTACAGGCCTGTACATGCAGGGGCCAATGTCTCAGGACTCTAGACACCATGGACATAGAGGTTGAGACTGGCCTGCCTACACTGGACTGCCTACCTTTGAGCCCGGGGCAGCTGGAAGACCTCTTGCCACACGGAGAATAGCCCCTTGCGCTGGTCCTTCAGGCCGACATGGGTGGTCTGCACATCCCTTGCACTCAGCTCTCGCTGGCCCCGCCCATACAGAAACTGGACAAAGGGTGGGATGAGCTGCAGCCACCACACCCCACCCTATACCTTGCCTCACAGGGGCCATCTGCCCACCTGTAGGGTGTTGATACAGGCTCGAATGTCGTTGTCAGTCTTCTCACAGAGGGCAGCCAGTGCACCAGGGTCAGACTGCATGCCATGCCTCAGGGAGATCTATGGGTATGATGACCACTGAAGTGCTTGCCATTGCTGAGGGTACACACGAGCCAGTTGGGCCCACCCTCAGAGCCTATCGTGTGGCCACAATTTGGTTGCCTGGACAAAGGTAAACTGCCCTGTGCTGGAGGTGGCCAGAGAATGCAGGTCTTATGATCAGCCTATACCACTGCCTGACATCCCAGCCAAAAAGTAGTCTCATAGCCAACCTGAGAGAACCAAGGTATTCAGGGAAGGGATATGGGAATGGAGGTCAGGAGAGGGACCCCATCTCCCACTGGAAGCTGTCCATCTCCCTGCCATGCTGACCTCCTGGAGTCGCTGAACCAGCCTGGAGGGTAGAGTTGGCGGGATATGGAGCAGGAAGGCCTGCTGCTTCAGGTGCCTCAGAGATGGTGCAAACCTGTAAGACAAGATCAGTAGTGGCCACACCAAGGACAGGTACAGTGGCTAGGCCAGGGGACCCTCTTGTACAGGGTGGACCTGCCCCCTCCTCCACCATACTCACTGATCATTGCAGATGCAAATGATGGGCCTCGTCAGGAGACCACCCTCGGCCCTGCGTCGCTGGCCCCCACCTCCAGGTACAGCTGGGCCTCCTTGCTCCACCTCCGGTGGACCTTTGCGATTCAAGATGCTCAAGAGAACATTGATGGCGGCCTTCAGGGAGGCACAGAAGGGGTCAGCAAGCTGAGGACCCCCAGTGCACCCAAATCTGCCCATTCATCCACCCACTGGGGCAGCAGGGAGGCCCACCGTGGGGGCCCCATCGATCTCATCAATAACCAGGCAGTTGGGTTTCCCACCCGCACCGAGGACTGACTCCATTTGTGTGGCTGCTTCAATGCGCGTACGGAAGGCCTCAGGACTACGGTCATCACTGGAACAGCAAGGCCAAGACAAAAGGTCACTAGGAGCAACCAGCACCCCAGCAGGGTGGTTGCCAGACCACTACCACATCCATGCTGTGAGGCTCCCACTAGATGTAGCCACCACCAACCCCAGCAAGCCCTGAAGAATGATGTGTCCTGTTCCCAACCCACACGTCCAAAAGAAACCACCACACCTGGGGTTTTAGAGCTACACCCTAGACTCAACCACACAAAAGCCCCAGAAATGGACCTTTCCCTCCACTCACCTCGCATTCATCTCCACCACACAGTACCCTGCATGCTGTGCAACCACATGTGCCAGCGTGGTCTTGCCCAGGCCTGGAGGGCCACACAGCAGTGCCACCTGCAGCCAGAGTGGAGAAGGATGGATTCCTGGTCCCTCAGCCTCCTGGGAACCCCTGGTCAGAAGCTGGAAGCTGATCACTGCTCCCCACACCCCCATCCCAGCCATCAAATGAGAACCACCAGAGTACTCAAGAGTGAGAGAAAACCCTGTAGGAAGTAAGTTATGTGGGAACTTGACAGGACCACCCAGACCCACCCAATGGATCCCAAAACCCCCACTGTTCTTCAGATGATGCTCTAGGAATGCTGACTTTATCCAGACCTCAGAACAGACTCAACTTCAAACTCACAACATTGGTACTTGATGAAAACCTTCACATTATCACACCCATAGCCTCAGGGAGACTTAAAAATGCCTCATAGACCGCAGAAGCTGCAACAGCATTAGCTACACAGAGGGCAAAGTCCCAGGCTCAGATATGTCCATAGCAGGGCCAGGTGGAGTTCACCTTCTGCCGGGGTCGCCAGTTTGGGTCCAGCTCAGCTTCCAGCATCTCCTCCAACACCTGCTCATGGCTTTTCCACTTGCCAGGGCCCATAGCCTCCTTCCCAACCCGGGCTGGCTCTATACTGGGCCTGGGCTTCCGGGTAGGCCTCTCATGGCCAAACACCACTAGGTCCCATAGTTTCAGCCACTTGAGGAGGCAGCGGTTGGTAAACTGCAAAAAGAAGAAAGCCTAAGGGAAGGGCCCCTGCCCACCGTACATATTAACAGGCAGAAACATTGAGGTTCAGAAGACCCAGGCTCTGGTCAGCAACACTCTCAAGAAGGCCTCCATGCGATAGCCCTGACCCAGCTTCTGGGACCCCATGTTCACCCCAGGGCAGCTCAGCACCAATTGCTGACAGTGAGCAAGGGAACAGGCTAGGACATCTAGAACTGTAGCAAAGCCCATAGCAGGTAACAGTTGACCAGCAGTAAGCCAGCTTCATGCTGACTCAGTTTTCAAATTTATGATTCAGGCCAAGGGACTGACCAGAGTCCCTACATCATCCTTAGCATCTAGTGGACCAACAACACAAAGATCTCAGTTCTTCCTTTTGTCTTCCTGAAAGGAAAAGTCAGTCCTACTTGAGTGAGAGCAAGAGCTTACATCGTCACTGAGCAGCTCCTTGTAGTGCCGGGGTGCAAATTCATCTACCCAGAGGCAGTGTTGGTTTGTGTCTTGACCATAAGCTGGCTCCTCTTCAGGGGTTCCCACAAGCAGAGCCTCCTCTCCTTCAGACCTGAGGCTGCAGAGAATCAGGTCTTGGGTCAGAGCATGGGGTCACAGGAACTATGCCCCACAACATCAGTCCAGAAACCATCAGGGATCCTGGGGCGAGAAGATGTACAAGTCACCTATGCAAAGTGTCTGAGAGTTGTTCGGCCTCCTTAAGCAGTTGATGCCGTCGCTATACAAATGAGATAGGCTGGGATCAGAACAGTTCCAGTCAGCCCCACATCACCACCCCACACTTCCCCACACTCCAAAGAACCCACCTTGCTGTCAACCTGTTCCTTGAGGGAGATGAAAGGCACACCCAGCAGATCCAGCTGGCTACGGCCTCGCCACTGGACATCCAGAAGTGGGCTCTGCGTAGGGCAGAGTTGTTAGTCTCTGTATCCCTTCTGGGTCATAGGGGTACCTACAATGCCCTACCCCACAGAAACTGGCTAAAGGAGACAGATGAAACCCTGCCTAGTCCAGAGAGAAGAGATGACTCACCCAGATGGGCAAGGTCCAAGGTAGGCCAGCTTTATGGTAGGGGAGAGAAGAACAGCAGGAGGCTAACAGCTGGAGTGCAGGGTGGCACTCTAGGGCCACCCCCATCCCCAAATTAGCACTGCTGTCTCCAACACTGGGCTTCACGGACCTGCCCACCTCTAGCAACTCTGACAGGTAAAATTGGGTTCCAAGCCTACTGAGCAGCCCATTGGTGATATAAGGAGACCAAGGTCATGGCTAGTTCCATACTTGTGGTCACACAGTACCCACCTGCACCCCAGTTCCTGTAGGGTCAGCCCGCAGCACCAAAAAGGCCCGGTCTCCACCTGTGGATGTCACATTAATGTAATCCTCTAAGATAGGGGGCCGCCTCAAGACAGGATTGCAGGCACCTGGCAGAGCCTGCATGATGCCTTTGTCCACACCATCATCTGGAGGCCTAGGAGGGGCACCATGCCTCCAGTCAGTACCTAGACCCAAGATCGCCCCTCAGCCCTCTTCTCCCAGAGCTTCATGCAGGGATGGGCAACCTTCCAAGTCCCTCTTGGACAGGTAGGGTGGAATCACATGCCCCAAACAACACACCCAGCATCCCACAGCTCAGGGGGGACCTCGGGACTCAATGGGGGGGTGATGTCCCTCGGAGGGGAATCAAGAAACAGGAGCTCCTCCTTCATCTCTGGCTCAAGGTTCGGCCTCTTCACAGCCTCCAGCCTGGGCCGTTTGATCTTGGGGTCTGCAGAGACAGAAGGAGAAAAGAAGAGGAAGTTGGTCTTCAGCATCCCCCTACCCCCACCCTAAGCACCCCAACCCGGACATACCGGGAGACTGAAGCTCGTCCCTGTGACTATTTTTCTTGGCATTGCGGCTATCAATCCCTGGAGACCCTGCGTGACAGGGGTGTGGGGCAGCGTCCCCGCCGGCAATGGCCTCTTCGAAGGTCAGCTGGCGCCGGCTCGCAGGGGCCCGCAGGCTCCCGGATGGCGCCAGGGCCGGCGCCCCTGCTGAGAGAGAGGCTCATAGCAGCTGCCCACCGCACGAAGCGAGCTTCGTCCGTGGCGCTGGAGAACCTGGAGTCCCCGCCGCTGATCATCCCATCCGCGAAATTCTCCATAACTGCAGGATTCGGCCAAGATTCCGCTGTGCCCCATGACCTGAGCCTACCTTCCAGCTCGGCCAACACCTCGAGCTCGGCCGCGAACTGGCTATGGAAATCATCCTCCACGCCATGCAGCTGCTCCTCATAGTCTTCCATGGTCCTCAGAGTCTCGGAACTACAGCTCCAGCCGCCAGCTGGCCCTCCGAACCTCCCGCGCCTCGGCCACCGCGCGCCACTCCTACCCACGAGCGTCCCGGTGCCACCAATCGGTGGCCAGCGTTCCCAGAGGCACCGACCACTGGCCAATGCTGCTAGTCCGGGCTTTGCACGCAGACCTGCCGGGAGGGGTGGAGTCAGCACTCAGTGGTTGAAGCTGTGGGCCAAGAACGCTTTCTATTGGTCTGCACAGCCATCCGCTCCTGGGGGCGGGGCTAAGAAGTTGCTGCGTGCGTCGGCCATCCGGGAGGGGCCTACTCATCCTTCAATGGTCGGAGCCGAGGGTCAGAAACGCTTGTCATTGGCTAGGACAACCATCCGTCAGCGGCTCCGGGCTGTGGGCGGGGTGAAGGCGGAGGTGCGCGCCAGCCCTGCCAAGGGGTGCTGGGTTTCCTAATGTGGAGACGCAAGGTTGGATGCAGGGCTGAAAAGTAATAGCCAAGCCTCTGGACCCTGTTGCAGGTAGGTCCTAAAGAAGGCGGGACTCGGAGCCAGGGTCCGCATCCTGTCACAAGCTGATGGGAGGCGAAGCAAGGGGTGTCGGCAATCCTGGGTGGTCCAGGGCCAATCAGGGAGCAGCAACCCCTGTCCTCTTCCTTGCCCACTCAGGAGAAGTCCATAACCTAGCGGAAAGTGCATTGTGGTGCGCTGCACAGTCAAGCTGTTCCTCCTGGGTCTGGGTCGTGGAGAGCTCCCTCGCCCTGAATTCAGCGCAACTCAAACTCCCCTGACCTCGGCTAGACTCTCACACCCCAGCTGATACCCCCCAGCCTGGGCCCCTTATTGAGGGCATAAGCAACTCCACCAGGTGCTGACACAAAGCAGTCTGCACAGTGCTTGTGGTGCAGGTTGAATAGCTGCAGACCCAGAATTCTAGGGAGACAGGTCCCCTCCCACCCCAGGTTCACTCCCACCTCCGTGCAGCCCCCACCATGGAGCCTAGCAGCATGGAAAATCTGTCCATCGTGTACCAGAGCAGCGACTTCCTGGTGGTGAACAAGCACTGGGACCTGCGAATTGATAGCAAGACTTGGAGGGAAACCCTGACTCTACAGAAGCAGCTACGACACCGCTTCCCAGAGCTAGCTGATCCTGACACCTGCTACGGGTTCAGGTATACAGCCAGCACAGGGAGTCTCATCTGAGTGTCATTCTGAGGGAAACTGCTGGGACACTGGACTCTACCACAAAAGCACTAGCTAGAATACAACAGGGTCCAGCCACTACTGCTCTTCTGCCCTTCTCCAGGTTCTGCCACCAATTGGACTTCTCCACCAGCGGGGCACTGTGCGTGGCCTTGAACAAAGCAGCTGCAGGCAGTGCTTACAGATGCTTCAAGGAGCGGCGTGTCACCAAAGCCTACCTGGCACTGGTAAGGCCTGACCAATCCCTGGGGTGTCCAGGCCAGTTCCTGGGTGCGATGTAGCAAGTCAAGCCTCCTTGTCCACTCCAGCAGGCCCTTCCAACCCAAGGTCCCTTCCAGGCCTATGTGGCCACCTGGATCTCAACCACATGTTTCCCAGAAGTATCACTCTGGCTCTGTAAGCTACATGTGATGTCCTTGCTTGGCAGGTCCGGGGTCATGTCCAGGAAAGCCAAGTAACCATCAACTATGCCATTGGCAGGAACAACACAGAGGGGCGGACCCATACCATGTGCATCGAGGGCACACAGGGTATGATAGCTGGGGTGGGAACCATGGGCATTTTTCCCAAAAGAACTCTGCATGGACAGGGCCAGCCTGACAAGTGTGGATTGGGGTTGGCTTGGGGCCCCAGGACTGGCCCAACAGACTTTCATACTTGCCTTTGCATTCAGGTTGTGAAAACCCTAAGCCAAGTCTCACGGAGCTGCTAGTCCTGGAACATGGGCTGTATGCTGGTGACCCTGTGTCCAAGGTGCTGCTGAAGCCACTTACAGGTGTGTTCAGGGCAGGGCAAGGGTTCAGTAGTGCAAGAAAAGAATCTTGAGGTAAAGGCAGTGTGGCTTCCCTGTGGCTACCCCAAGTATGCCCACAGAACCAACAGTGAAATCTTTGCTGGCTCTTGTGTGTACTCTGGAGGTTTAACTGAGCTCTCTAGCCAGATCAAGTGTCTCCATGGCTGTACACTCACCAACAACCATCCCAGACCAATCTCTTGTCCTGAGTCCCAACATCCCATTTGTAGCAAGGGGTGGGAAGGATCCTATTCCAAGGGGCTGCTGTGCCCTACCTGGTGGATGAGGGCTGTAATCCTAGCTATTTAGGGGACTCATTCTTTTTTTTTTTGTCTTTTTGAAGCAGGGTCTCCCTGTAGCCCCAGCTGTCCTGGAACTCACTATGTAGCCCATGCTGGCCTTGAACTCACAGAGATCCCCCTGCCTCTGCCTCCCAAGTGCTGGGACTACAGGCATGCACCACCACCCCCAGCTCAGGGGACTCATTCTTTTTTTTTTGTCTTTTTGAAGCAGGGGCTCCCTGTAGCCCCAGCTGTCCTGGAACTCACTATGTAGACCATGCTGGCCTTGAACTCACAGAGATCCACCTGCCTCTGCCTCCCAAGTGCTGGGACTACAGGCATGCACCACCACACCCAGCTCAGGGGACTCATTCTTAAAATAAAAAGTTTATAAAGTAGGCTGGGTGAACTGGGTGTGATGGCTTATACCTGTAATTCCAGCACTCTTGAAGTAGAGGCAGGAAGATCAGAAGTTCAAGGTCATCTTTGTGTATATAAGGAGTTCCAGGTCAGCTATATGAGACTCTGTCTCAAAAGAAAAGGGCCAGTGAGATGGTTCAGTGAGTAAAGGCACCTAACTAAGCCTGACAACCTGAGTTCAATCCCTGAACCAAGATGATAGTGTAACAGAACAGACTCCTTCAAGTTGTCCTCTGAATTCCATTCACATACTGTATCATGTAGTTATGTACAAACACAAAATAAGTAAATTAAAAAATGTACTTTAATATTTTTAAAAAACAGGAGAAAAAGAAAAGAGGGTTAAGGATATAGTTTAGTTGTAGAATGCTTTCTTAGCATGCACAAGAGCCTGGATTTGATCACTAGCCCTGCAAAACAAGACAGAACAAAAACTCAAGGGGCTACCATGATGTTCTAAGGCCAAAGCAGGGTACTTGCTGGATACTGTGAGACCCAGGTAGGGGATGACAAAAGTGGTGCGTCCCAGCCTGACCTTCCACCCCTTGATCCCACAGGCCGGACACACCAGCTTCGTGTACACTGCAGCGCTGTTGGCCACCCTATCGTGGGTGACCTGACTTATGGGCAGCCTGAGGGCCAGGAGGACCAGCCCTTCCGCATGATGTTGCACGCCTTCTACCTGCGCATCCCCACACAAACTGAGTGTGTAGAGGCTTGCACACCTGACCCCTTCCTGCCTGCCCTTGACGCCTGCTGGAGCCCCCACACCCTTGTTCAACCCCTTGAACAGCTCATCCTGGCCCTACAGACTGAGCCTGATCCTGACCCTGTGGATGGAGGGCCCAGGCCCTGCAGCCCCTCCACACCCCTTCCCGGGCCGGGACGGCCCCCTCCTGAGACTGAGGCACCGCAAGCCTCATGCCTGCAGTGGCTGTCAGAGTGGACACTGGAGCCAGACAACTGAGAGCCATTGGACTTTGAGGAGTAGTGGCTGCTAAACTCAGCAGCTAGGCAGCCAAGATTGCTAGAGAACAGGGCACTCAGACTGTAGGAGGACAGATGTCTAGTAAGCAAGTCTAACTCAGCATTCCTCCAGGGGGAACTGACGTTCTTCCTCCTGGAACAGCTTTCAGCCTCCAAAGGTTTACCCCAGGCTTGCCCAGATACCCCCACCCCCAGTCAAGAGGGGCAGAGCCAAGAATTAGGTTCTTCCTGGGCTCCACAGGGGCTGGGAAGGACCATCCTGGCCTTCACCTGGCCTTAGCCCAGACCTACCTGGCTCCTGTCTTTTGAAGTGCTTTGTTCCACTCAGATTCTGTAACTCTCAGCTTGGCTGGACTCTATCCTCTGCAGACCCCAGCCTCTTGCTGCCTCCCTCGGCCATGTGCCTTTGCCTTTCCTGAACTCTGCCTGCGTCCAGCACTTGGCCCCATTACATAGGGGTGTATTAGGGCATTTGCAGAAGCACCCTCCATGCATGCCCATTCCTCCAAGCCTGGCATGGATGCTGCTTCTGTTTTGTGGGCTCCTGCCTGCAGCTCCTGCCATGTCAGTGCCTGGTTCCCACATAACCATAAAATGTTAGTGTCAGCCTTTGGGTCCTAGCCTAGGAGCCTGCTGGGCCTCACCTGTCTACCACAACATGGCCATACCACCCTAGCTGTAGCTGGGGTCTAGAATTAAGATTAAATGTTCAGTGACCAATCCTGAGAGTGACCATGAGTGTATCTGATGTGGGGTACCCTTAACCCTTCCTTGCCATACCTGGCAGATCTCTGCCTTTCCCCATAGGCAATGAGTAACTTCAGTGAAGTCTTGGGGGTCCTTAGTAGGAAGCAGAAATTTAGTCTTCAAAAGGCTTCTCCTAGTTAAAAGCAACAGTACACAGCAGCTCTCAACCAAGGTCCCTGGGAGAGCCACTGTCATGTCAGTCTACAGCCTGGACTCTCAGAATACTAGTACTCATGGGGAGGATGTCACCAAGCCTGCATCCCCTCTGAGGTCACAAGTCACATCCTGCCTCCTGCTTAATGCCGCCCTACTGCCATGTGCCTCTTGGGCTGTCTCCACCCCATGGGCTGGACTACAGCAGCCATGGGCTACTGCCTACTGGGTCTTGGCAGAGACTCCATGGAATGGCCAGCTGCTGCTGCTTCCTGTGCCTTAGTTTCCCCATCTACAAAAGGAGAGCTTGTAGACTGAGGCCATGCCCCTGTGCCCTTTGCCTCCAATACTCTGCCCTCTGCTGGACACTTGCACTCTTCTATGTCTTCCTATGGGGAGATACAGGTCTTTTCCTGTTTCCTCAACTTCACTTAGGAGGTTGACCAGTTGGGTTCCTCACGCAGCACAGGTCTAGTCATGGTGATCAGGAAGATATCTGCAGACCCAGGCACTGGGGGCTCATCTCTGAGTCTCCTGCCCACAGTTCAGGAGCTGTTATGTCTCCTGCTACCACACAGTGGCACTGCTGGGCCCCACAGCTAGTGTGCTTGCACCTGGACCCTAAGGCAGGTGCTCAGCATCTTGTGACCTGGTATCTGCAGGACTGGACCTTGTAGGGACCAGACTAGGCCAACCTCACACCCTGGTGGCCCTCAGGAGTCATTCCCTGCTAGACCTCAAGCAGGGCTACCTCAAGGTTTCCCAAAATGTTGTCCTTCAAGAAGCTTGCCACCCACAGGTATGTGCCAGAGGTGGGGGTTCCCCTCACACCCTTGGCAACAGCTGAGTAAGAAGACTTTTCATAACAGGAGAGTGCCGTTGTCTCTGAAAGCTCCAGCCCACAGCTTTTAACCACCAAAAGCAAATTTTCCCACTTTGAAGAAGAAACAAAGCTGGGGATGTAGCTCAGTTGGTAGAGTGCTTGCCTAACATTCATGAAACCCTGGTTCCATTCCCAGCAGCACATTTAAACAATAACAACAAACAACTATGTGTTGGCACATGCCTGTAATCCCAGCATTTAAGATGTGGAGGCAAGAAGATCAGAAGTTCAAGGTCATCTTCAACTATGTAGTAAGTTGGAGGGTAGCCTAGGATATAAGACACCTTGTTTTTTTGTTTTTTTTTTTAATAAAAAAAAAACCTTTGGGCTGGAGAGATGGCTCAGTGGGTAAAGGGTAAATTGCTTACTGAGCAAGTATCAGGATCTCCAGAACCAAAATAAAGCCAAACATGGTAGAATATAATTCCAGAGTTCCTACAGCAAGATGGGAGGTGGAAACAAGAATCTCCTAAAGCTTGTGGGCTAGCTAGCCTGGTGTACACAATAATGAATCGTAAGAGGCTGTCTCAAACAAGATGGAAGGCAAGGACCAACACCCAACAAGGTTGTCTTCACACATGCTGTGGCACGTGAGTGCCTACACTCACATGCACACACATACCTCACTTGCTCTCTCTCTCACACACACACAAAGATTTAAAAGAAGAAGGAGGAGGAAGAAGAGGAGGAGGAGAAGAAAGCTGGGCATGGTGGTGCACATCTTTAGCCCCAGCACTTGGGAGGCAGATGCAGTGGATCTCTGTGTGTTCAAGGTCAGCCTGGTCTATATAGTGCATTCTACACTAGCTGGGGCTACAGGGAGACCCTGTCTCAAAAAGACAAAAAAAAAAAAAAAAATCAAATCCCCATGGCAGGCAGGACCTACAGTATCCTACACTATCCCTTCTAGATTCTAGGATTCTTATTCCTAGGAAATAAGGCAGAGGCTTGCACAATGGCTGGTACTCTCTAGGGCACAGGAGCTGCTAGTGGGTCCCCCAAACAGGGGCAGTGCCCTTCTGCAACCTCTAGAACCCAACCCACGTTCCAAAGGACAGGCTACCAGTGGGAGCAAAAGAACACATCCTCATCTTACAGGCTCTGCCAGGCTTCAGCTGAGTGCCAAGTGCTATGTAGCCTGGGTAGCACCAGAATGCCAGCTATGGGGTGTCATCTAGAGAAGATCCCAATGGCCAGTGTGCAGTGTGTGGCCTCTGGGATAGCAAGGGATGGTCGACTATTAAGCACTGAGGAAAGGTTAGGCCACAGAGCAGCGAGTGAGATAAATGGGAAGGTAGACATACAGGCGGAAAAGCAAGTTGGAGGTAAGGCAGGCAGGCAGGCCAGGCCTCTCTAGAGACAGATCCACATCTATGTCTTCCTAGTAAAGGTCAACCAATCCTCATGCTTTCCCAGGACCCAAAAGCCCCTCTACCCACTCACTCACCCGGTTCAACACCCTCTTCCATCTCAGGTGGGATGTCTCCCGTCTAAGACTCCAGAGCCCCAACGGGAACATCTACCCAGCACATCTACCACCCTATCCTGTGGCTATGGGTTGTTCAAGGTTCAGAGAATGTAGAACAATCAGACAAGGTTTCCTGGAGGAGGGAGCTTCCTTAGATAAGTCTCGCCTGGCAGAAGCCAAAGTGTGAGCAGGGTGATGAAGGCCCTGCCCAGGACTCTTGGGCAATGGCACTTACTGTGTACATCAGGCCACTCAGCCTCTCTTGGCCTCCATTTCCACATTGAAAAACCAGGACTGTGGGAGGTCTACATAAAAGTGGAAGACAGGATGTAGGTCCATCAGCAATGACTATTGCTGCCCTAGAGGCCAAGCCCACAGTGAACATTCCAGTATCTGGCCTCTGCTCAAACTGGAATGTGGGGAATCTAGGCTGCCTGGGTCCTAGAGGTAGGTAGAGACCTCCTCACCACATAAGACCTCCCCCTGGCTGACATCTCAGTGTCCAAATCTGCCTTTTCAGACTTTAGTCAAAGAGTTGGGCGTGGTGGTGCACATCTTTAAATCCCAACACTCAGGTAGCAGAGGCAGGCAGATCTATGTGAGTTCAAGGCCAGCCTGGTCTACATAGTGAGTTTCAGGCCGGCCAGCCAGCCAGGGCTAATATAGTGAAACCCTGTCTCAAAAAACAAAGAAACAAAACAAAACAAAAAAAAACTGAAGG